TTCTGTGCCATGCCTTTGACCATGGTTCTAATTAATATTGTTCCTGAGTGGATTCCAAATCTTCTCAGTGGTTCTGTAAGTAGCTTTTCAACAGTTCTTTTTCTGATTAAATCAGCTAGATTCTGCTTCTATTGGTGCAAATAAAACTTCTGACTTAAGCACACTCACACTAGCTATCAGCCACAAAATTCTCTGGGAAATGAAAACCTTAGCATCTATCTCAGAATGTTTCTATTCTTGTCCAGTGGAAATGATCTAAGGAGTAACAATAGCACACAGAACAGTAAAACTCAACTAGAAGGGCTTGCTGAGAGGGGCCACTAGATGCTCCAAAAGCCATGTTGAACTAAATTCCCAATGAAGTAGTATTAAGCGATGAGGCATGTGGCAGGTAGTTAGGTTACCAGGGTTCTGACTCCATGAGTGGGGTTAAAAAAAATCTCTTTGGCTCCTTTTTTGTTCTTTCTACCATGTGAGGATGAAACAACAGTGCACCATTGTGGATAAAGACAGCAACCCCTCAGCAGACACTGAGTCTGCTGGTGCCTTGATCTTGGAGTCCCCAGCCTCCAGGGATGCCAGAAATTAATGTCTATCATTTATGAATTACCCAGCCTAAGCATCAAGAACAAACTTAGTTTGTTCACCTACTACCTTAGTTGCCAAGCAGCCTCTTCCATGATTCTGACACCCCACACAATAAGTATGTGTGGAAAGAATCTCCTCCCACAAGATGAGTAACTTGGCACTGAGTGCAATACACTGACTAGCCTGACTCAGAACAAGACAATCCCATAACCCTTAAATCTTCTTTTCTCTTCTCCAGTTCCCACCTATCCTCCTCTCTCCTCCACTGACTTAAGACTTACTGGGTAGGAGAAACTTTTGTATGGCCTTCAGGGTGGCTTTTGTGCACAGAAAAGACCACTCTAGTAAGTGGCTGCTTCAAAACCCAATGTTAAATTTCAAACTTAACATTTCATTTAGCAAATTGATAGATTTAAAAATGTACAGCTCTTTTTTGAGCTTTTAAAAGCAACTTAGGAATCTTATCCTATTTAAAAGTCTAGCAAATATTAACAGTCATTTTGAGAAGACTTTTGATTAATGTTCAGTCCCATTTATACACTTAGTTAATTAAGCCTCTTTAACATTTTAAATAACATTTATAAATTTAATATATTTGATTCCTTTTTAAGCATTTTATCTGACTGAAAAACTTCCCCAGATACAAGTGTAAGTCTTACAGATTTAGTAAATTCAACATACAAAAAAAGGCAACTTTAAATGCTTTTACATGTTCACACTAGATGTAAGCTTAGATGTTAACTTGAAATACAAATATCAATCATTCAAGTACAAACATTAAAGTAGAATGTTAAGTATGATGTATTATTCCAATAGGCCAAATTCCCTTTTAAATTGGGCATACAAAAACTAATATATATGCACCACTACACTAAAGATATTAAAACTATAGTTTGACTCCCTTAAACATTTGTGCACTTTATTTTACATATTCCCTGAGCTTCTCGAATGTCTAACCACAGGGAAGATAATTTCTTTCTCAGCTAACTGAGGTTTCTAACCAGCCAGAGGTTCTGGATGGGATACTGACCAGATCCACATAAGGGTAGTGTCTCTAAGGACAAATCAAGCCCTATTTCCAGTCTCTAATTTCCCCTCTTAAAGATGGAGGAGGCCAAGCAGCCCAGTCCCTTGATGACTACTAATTCAAGCCAGAATCAAGTCCATAACATCTATCCATGTCCTACATTTTGTGTTTATTTGACTCTTGAGGTTTATAACTACATATTTGTTCATTTACTTCTAAAGAATCCTTCACCTTTTTTCAGAAGCTTCTTATCTTGTAGGCTTACGCAACTCTTACAGATATTAAAATTTTAACTGAATTCTGATTCTCTTTCATACTGTGTCTGAGACCTCCAAGTCATTCTCTAAGGTCATCACTCAGCCCCACCCTCCCTCCCAGCCTGGCCTTCTGTGGTCCTTGGTTGCCATGGAAATGCAAATGTAGGTTCTCCAAGGATCTGGGCTCTGTCCCACCTGACCAGACTTAAAGAAAATATTCCTAAACCTGGTCACTTCTTGGAGCAGTTACTTGGAACTCCCACTGTAACCTCTGCTTCCTTCCTTTTCTGAGCAAGCCCTGGTGATCAAGGTCAGTTAGAAGATAAAGGTCCATGCAGGAGATCCTGGGCCAAATTCTTCATCTACCAATTCTCAGTCCCCACATCCTGGCCACTCAACTACAATGTCCTTAGTGACAGCAAAATCAGCAGAGTGAGCCCCAGCCAGCCCCAGCATTGGGACAATGTGCCATACGCATATCTTCCTGTGGCTTGGTAAACAGAATAGAAATAGGCATGGTTCCTGCCCTCTAGCTTTCTAAAATAAATATGCGTATCGTGCATTTCCATTTCCATACTAAAGAGAGGCAATAATAAGAAATAACTTTCAACTATTGTGGGAATGGAGATGGAAATCATCCATGGCAAAGAATACATTGGTTTAGGATAGTGTTTTCAACCCTAGTTTCATAGTAGGATCTCTAGGGTTTGAGGGGAGAGCTATATTTTTAAAAATATTAATCCAAACCTCTGAGATAAGGTCTAGATGTTCATATTTTTTTAAAACATTCCAGGAGATTCTGATGCCAGAGTTAATAACCTCTGATTTAAAACAATGATTTAGGAAAAGTCTATCTTTTTCTTACCATTATCACAATTTGTGCCACATAAACCTATTAACTGCACAGTTATAAACTTTGTTATCTTTCCCAAATCAACTTATTTTTTTTCCAGAATCTGTTTTGTTGTTGCTGCTGATGCTGTTGTTGTTTTGAGTACTGGGGATTGAAATCAGGACCTTGCACTTGCAAGGCAGGCATGGCATCAGCACCACTGAGCTAAATCCCCAGCCCCATCAACTCACACTTTTTTTTTTTTTTTTTTTTTTTCC